GGGGCGGCGGGGCGGGGCCGGCGGCATCGGGCGGAAGCGGAGCGACGCGGGGGGGCGGGAGGGGAGCGGGCGGCCCCGGGCGCGACCCCGCGGCGGAGGGGTGAAGCGAGGTGAGCGGCGCGCCGACGGGAGAGGAAAGGAGAGCGGGACGGCCCCGGCGCGCCCCCGCGGGAGGTCAGGGGGCGGGCCCGCCGTCACAGTCCGCCATGCCGCGGCCGCGGCTCTTCGGGCGGCTCCGGGCGGCGGTGCTCGGCGTGGTGCACGTGGGCGCGCTGCCAGGTGAGCGCGGGCCGGGAGAGACGCGGCGCCGCGGGACCCGCTCGTACGGCGGGCGGCCCGGCCGCGGGGGCCAGAGGAAGGCCCCGCGAGCCGGGGAAGCGCCGAGCGGGCTGAGGGCTGCCGAGCTGGGCTGGTCCGGGCCGCGCCGGCGGGGCGGAGCTGCACGGGCCCCGCGACTGCGGGAGCTCGGACACGTGGCTCCCTGCGGCACTGCGCCCGGCTGGCGCTCCGCTGAGCCGGGGCCGAGTTGTCCCCGGGGCTGTGTGCCGGCCGGAAAGCTGTCCCGGTACGACATCGCATAGGTATCCCTCGAGTCTGTGAATGACTTCACGAGTGAGCAGTCACGGCTGACCTGTACAGTTCAGGAAAGGGAAGAGGTGCCTCTGGGGTGCATCTCAAGGAGGTGCAGCAGCCTTTTAGGTGTTTTGCCCCCTATTTTTTCCCTATTTTATTATGCCAATGCATTATGGTAAGCTGCCTTACCAGAAAACCGTTACCATCTGTATGGTTTGCCTTTGCACTGGCGTAAATGGCACTGTTGTTGCAGGGACACCGAGAAGTTCTCTTCCCTTGGCACAAATCATCGATCAAGCTTGTCAAGAAGCAGAAGCATACAAAGATGCTGGAGTTGTAAGTCCTGGCTTCCCTCTTCCCATGGCAGTATTAACACAAAGCTGCTTCTGCGTACCCAGTGGTTTGAATTGAGTCTGAGTGACCTAGAATTCATGAAAAGCACCTGAAACCACTGAGTTTGGGGAGACATTTAAACCTGCATTTTTTATTTCAACACAAGTAGGCCTCAAAGTTTCAAAACCTGAATTAAACATCACACACACCCTGCAGAACTGGAAAAGCTTAGATTCAAACTGTGCAATTTGAGTTGTTTAAATAGGATTGCTATCAATTTACAAGAATCAAGTCAACAACAACAAAAACAGATGGAAAGCTGACAGCAATATGAACTGTTGCTGGCATTCTTGGTATCCGGATGTAGGATGCTTCATCATCTAGTCTGACAAGCTGCTTTCCTTAGCTCTGCTTGGCACACTGCTTTCATAAAGTCACGGCACAGGCATAGGCACTGCTTGCTTACAGGCTGCAGGATTCCCCCACAGTTTGTGTTTGTACTACAGTAGCATTATTTCAGGACCAAAAAATTATCTTGGGTCCTTTTCTGCCCACTGTAATCCTTGCGTCTTAGGCTGTGGGAGCAGCCATACCTGCTTTGAATATTCTCAGCCAGAGGCAAGAGAAGGCTACTAATGAACTGCCACTGCAGCTCTGAGCTGCGATTTTCTGCTAAACTTTGAGTAGATTTCCACTGGGTTATAATTCAGCAGCATAAATTACAATGATACTTTACAGATAGAATGAAATGGAACCTAAGAGGTTAGTCTAAATTATAGAAGACCAAGTTCGAAATGCAAGACAAGTCACATGATGGAGGCTGTGGACAGAGCAGTGGTTAGGAAAACCACTAAGTTGGGAAAGCCCTGGGAGCAGCTGTTGAAAGGGTAAACAGCAGTGCAGAAGAACAGAGCTCATTGATGGGCTCCAGTGCCAGTGAACAAGCTGACAATGTGCAAGACATCTACCAGCTAGAGTAGTCTAACTGCAAGCTGGACGGAAGTCAGTTTTCTCCCTTTTCATACCTGCTGGAAGGGAAGAGTGCAATTGCTCTGCCTTCTGTACTGGTACATTCTGTCTTGCCTTCATGACATCAACGTGAGGTTGAATGTGATTTGGTCTACATCAGAAGAACAGCAAGGACTAGTCTTCCTGTGTGGAAACAGTTACACAGGTGATGTGCAGCCCTAGAGCCATTGCCCATATTCCAGTACTTGTTTATTTGTTTCCCTTATATACTAACCATACACTGATACCTTAGCAGCAGAGAGGAAACACTAACCATACCTAAATGTGAGGGAGAAGATAGAAGTGATCACTTTCGCTGCTGACATGGACAAGGTCTCAAGACAAACTTTAAAATCAGTGCTTCCACAAAATTCTAATTTGGGTTAGTATAAACCTTTCTGTCTTCTCAACTGATGTATAAATTCACGCTTCCAGCTTTACCTCTTTTCTTGCTGTATTGCAGTTACTCAGCTCGTATGTTTAAAGCCACCTCTTAGGTAGGCAGATGTGAGGTGAATGCAGTCATTTCTACTAATTTGAACAAATTCAGGGTATAACTACATTGCCTCTCTAAACTGTAATGACATAAGCATACAGACCAAGCCAGTCTCCATTCTAAAGATCCATACATGATAGTGTTACATCAGTAGGAAAAATAAATCCTTTGTTAATACATAAAGGTCAAGATAAACAGGAGAGCTTCCACAAATATCCCCGTGGTTGCCAAACATTTTCTGTAATTCATTTGTCCAGTTTTTTCCAGCACTTTAAGAGAAGCGTGAATTTTGACAGTAGGTACTGAAGAGCTTTGTGGTTTTTGTGTAGAAAGAGAGATCACCTCTCTTCCAGACTGGCTTTCCTGGTTCTGCAATGGGAGTATCTGATTTCCCTCCTACTACTCAGGCTGAGCTGTGAAACTGTCCATTTTTTTCCCACAGAACTAGAAATCTGAGGGTTTTTTTTTCTATGGATGTTTCTGGCATTATTTCTAAGCACCTGTGGTAGCCTCTGGAAGATTCATAACTATGTTGCTGCTGCTAGATGTTCGCATGTTGCCTCAAGTTGCTTGAGCTGGCATTAACATTTGGAAATATACTGTATAGGCTTGCTCACTCAGTATGCATTGCACTTGGAAGTAAATCCTAGTTTGTTCAGGAAAAAGGTGACTGGGCTGGCATATTAGCAGCTGAACATAATAAACATGAAAGATTTGTGGTATTAGAGCACAGTAATGAAAACAAGCGAGAGCTCAGCTAGGAAACCATCTGTGCTAAAAATGTATATGCTTTGTACTTGTATTGCTAAACAATGACATTCCCTAGGCAAGATTTTTATAAGCAGCGATCTATGAGACATCGTGGTCCTTCCAATTTTTATCTGCTTTTGATTAAGCAAAAAGCACTTGCAAAATATGCAGTGAAGTTAACTTTCACTCCTGCAAGTGAATCTAAGTAAATTTTGCTTTGTAGCTGGAAAACAGAGCACAAATTCCTTCCAGTTTCACTGATGTAACTCATCTTACTACATGCTATTTAATTGTAACTACATGAGTAGATAACAGTGATGAGTTGTATTTTTTCTTTAAGAAATACATTATTTACATAATGTTGCACTGCATTTCAAATATTACAAGTTTTTTTAGTAGGCTTGCTTCTTTTTTTTCTAGTAGATACAGTCTACTAGAGAGATTCCTGGAGATACAGTCATTCTGATCTTCCTGATTCTTCTTTTGCCTATGTACCTGCAAAGTGATGCTCAGTATCTGGTCTGTAATAAGGTATTAAAAAGTGAGCAGTTCCAAGCCAAACTACCACTGTAATTATAAGAGTAATGAAGTTAAGGCTATTTGGTATTTACTAGTAGTTGAAATAAGCTATCATTTCTGCTATAGAGACGTGCTATCATTTGGATTACAGAGGTTCAAATGTTAGCAGTAGAGTAAAATAGCAGGCAAGCCTCACCACAAATATCTCTTGTTATTTATACAGAAGAAAAGTTGCCTACTTACCTAAGTTGAAGTAGCAATCTCTTGTTCTAGAAGTGAAGTTTTTATAGTGATTGTCTAAGTACAGCAAATAAATGCTTGGCAAAGCTGATTTCCTTCGTATATGACTCTGGTGGCAGGAGGAACTGTAGTTCTCAGTGCGCACCAAGTTTATCAGCAATGAGCATGATGCAAAAAGCCTTTCTTTCTGTAGGAAGCAACAGTTGTTTTGCAATTGCAAAAATTAAAGTAACGCATAAGCAGCTGTGGGTAAAGCCTCTGTTATGCAGAGCATCAGGGTTAAAGTTACCATAGCAAGAAGTTATATCAGATAGGAGGTCAAGGTTTTTTAAGTGATCACTTCTGTAGATAGAATAAAGAAAATAGCTTTTCTATTTTATATAACATATATTTATTGTAACAACATAACACAGTGGGGAGATGTTACCAAAGAAAGACGAGTGCTCACCTGTAGTATCTAGATTCACAGTAGGAACTCCACAGAGGAGGAATCTCCAACAAGAGATCCTTCCCCAGTGGCAGTCAGCCCTTCAATGAGGTCTAAGAGAGATGCAGCCAGACTCCACTCCCTCCAGTCACACAACTGAATTGCCTTCACCTGTGCTCCCAAGGCTGACTGGGTCTTGTCTCCAGGTGCTCAATCAGTGGTTCAGACCATGACACAACAGTCTCTACATACGCCACCCCTTCACAGCATGAACCAATGATTAGATCAGCTGGAGGGTGAGCCTTCCCCAATACAAGGCTCTAACACACCACAGCACTCATAGAATTGCCTATCGTGATGCAGGTTGATACAACGTAAGATGGTTGATGATCAGTTTGTGATTAAAGTTCATGTTCTTTCATGGGCCAGTGCTCAATGGTTTCACTGGAGGCATACAGTAGACCAGGAAAGGTTTCGCTCACATTCCATCAGCCCCACGTGGCCCACCACCAGGTGTCATGCTGATCTTACAGTGACACCAGAGCATCTTGATGTCACATTGCTTGCTTTTCTGGTGATCCTGCGGACTCAAAGAGACTCGTGGGGAGTACTATAGATGTTTTGGAGTTAGAAGGGGAAGGTCCACCTTTCATGGCAAGATACAGGACATGTTCCTATCCTGGTTCAACACCTCAGCTTGCACCAGGTCATGTCCCTGCAGTCTGTACCACACCCTTTGGCCCAATATCTGAGGCTGCATACCTATATCAGGTTCCAAAGGGGGAGTCTGGATTTGCCACAGAGATGTGATTAAGCTCCCTTTAGCAATGAAAACCAGAGTGTTGACTATAATGTCTGCAGGCCATGTACCTATTACGTGGGGGGAGGGTGGAAACTACCGATCCCCCAGTGTCCAATGATCTCCCCCAAGAAGAAAGTACACCACACCATTTTGATCCTACTTGCAGCTTCCAAGGTCATTCTACTTTACAGGTGCCAGTTTCTAGGTTCTCAGGGCCAGGGAGCAGAAGATTATTTTCACTGCCAATTTTGAGTCTTACCCAGTGATTGGTGCCTGTACCTGGGAGGCCCATGTTGTCTGTAGCATCTTTAGGGCACCAGGTCTGCCATCATTAGGCCTTTCATTCAGGTCTACAGGGTTTCATAGAGTCTCTTTGGCCATCCCTGCAAGAGTGGAGAGTCTGTCTTCAGGGTAACCTTAAGAATGCCATTATGGTGTTCAATAAGGCCTGCCCCCATCAGTTTATGTGGTAGATGGAATTGCCAGTCACTGTTTTCTTCTGTCCAGCACTGTATTGTTGTACCAGAAAAATGAGTTCCTTGGTCACTCTTGATGATTTGAGATGTCCTGTAGGCAGCCATCAACTTGATGAGTGCCTTGATAGTATGTGCCTGCTTCACTGTTTTGTGACTAGGATTTCTTGACCTAAACCATAGAAATATTCTGCCGTGCAGGATGGGGATTGAAAGATATTCCCAGTATCCCACAGGGGACCCCATTTTTCAACTGAAGTTGAAAGTCCATAATACACATATCCTAAAAATCCTGAAATACGCCCTGGCAGAGTTCTGTCTAAAGGGCAGAATTCTCCCCTGTAACCCACTTAAAGATATTCAGTAGAACAGCTATTTCAAATATTTTAATCTGACTGGCTTGCCAAATGTAACAGTAGAGGGACCAGCATGATGGGAAGATGTTATAAAGATGTAGCAGCAAAGGATCGGTGCAATACTACAAAAGACAGAAGTGCTCACCTGCCTTTGAGGATCTAAGCTTGCAGTACAAACTCCACAGAGAAAGAATCTCCAACACAAAAATTGTCCCCAGTGGCACTCAGCCCTTAAATGAGGTCTAAGAGTGGTGCAGCCAGGCTCCACCTCTTCCAGTCACACAGCTGAATTGCCTTCACTTGTGCTCCCCGGGCTGACAGGGTCTCATCTCCAGGTGCTCAATCAGTGATTCAGGCCGTGTCTCAACAGTTCCCATACATACGTACATAAATAGTTTTTCTTTGTAGGCAAGGGGCTATTTAAATGACTTGTTTTCCAATAGCTAGCTATGTTACAAGGATGCTTTGCAGATAGATAGCAGTCTATTACCTTTCACTTCTATAGTGTTTGAGGACTGTTAAAAGTTGGGCTACTTTATATAAAAGTATCACTTCAATTGTTCTGATAATCAATGGAAAAGAAACCCAGAAGATTTTGCTGGTGCCTTATTTCCCATGTTCCAAAGAGATTCCACTTTGGAGCATGTAGTTCGGTTGCTGTTCTCCTAGACTTAAATACTATTAGCTTAAGTGCCAAGATCTTGAATCCAGCATCACTGTTTTCTTTCCACCATTTTAATTAACTGTCTGATAGTACTGAAGTCTGTTTTATATACATATAAATTCAGTAAACACCAGAATCTGTGGTGTTACATTTTTATACAAAAATATGAAAGAAAGCTTTGAGTTAACGCATCTGTAATTCAGCTTTCTGTATTACAGAACATATGTTGTTCTTTTTTTTTTTTTAATTAAACAAAACATAATGTGCAAAGGAACAAGGTCTATTAGATGGTACTAAAAGAATAACACATTATTAAAGTAATACAAAAAATAGTCACAGGAACTGTGGACCTTGAGGCTATGAAAAGAGAGCTATTGAAAAGTGAATAAATACAAGGTTGAAGAGAAAAAAGCTGGAATCCTCCTGCACGTTGAACAGGAATTCAATCAGATGCTTGTCTTATGTACAGTAATATGGCTAGAGTCCCTAATTACTTTTAAAATAATTGTATTTTTTAATATAATGGAATAATTTGCTTTATGCAAATGCTGAGCTGTTGAATCAGCAACAATTCATGGAAAGCTCAGTGTTGCTGTGATGCTGCCATGGGATTCTGCCACTGTGTTCCCTGCTTGGTCAGGAGCACCCCATGGCCTTTTCCAGGAGCTGTGTTCCTGTCAGGACTGCTTCTGCTCTACCAGGAGGCCTGGTGCTCTCCTGGCTGCTCCTCATGAGCCGACAGTGTGCCCAGGTGGGCCAATGGCATCCTGGCTTGCATCAGAAACAGTGTTGGCAGCAGGAGCAGAGAGGTGATTGTTCCGCTATATTCAGCACTGGTGAGGCCGCACCTCGAGTACTGTGTCCAGTTTTGGGCCCCTCACTGCAAGAAAGATATTGAGGCCCTGGAACGTGTTCAAAGGAGGGCAACAAAGCTGGTGAGGGGTCTGGAACACAGGGCTGATGAGGAGAGGCTGAAGGAGCTGGGAATGTTCAGCCTGGAGAAGAGGAGGCTCAGGGGAGACCTCATTGCTCTCTATAACTTCCTGAAGGGAGGTTGTAGTGAGCTGGGGGTCGGCCTCTTCTCTCGTGTCATCAGTGATAGGACCAGAGGGAATGGCTTCAAGCTACGGCAGGGGAGATTCAGGCTGGACATGAGGAAGTATTACTTTCAGAAAGGGTGGTCAGGCACTGGAATGGATGCCCAGGGAGGTGGTGGAGTCACGGACCCTGGGGGTGTTCAAGGAAAGACTGGATGTTGTGTTGAGGGACATGGTTTAGTGGGAGCTATTGGGAATAGGTAAACGGTTGGACTGGATGATCTTTTAGGTCTTTTCCAACCTTGGTGATTCTGTGATTCTATGATTCTATGTAATATCCTCTGCCCACTTGAGGTTTCTTGGACTGAAATTTTATATTAAGATATGCTGATGAGTGGCAGAAATAATATGTAGCTCTCATGTTAGGTGTTCATAATGTTAGATCACATTTCCCATTAATAAACTGTGTCCATTTGTTTTTAAGGTAGCACATATTTTGTGTATTTAAATGCTTATCTACTGGTTATTTGGTGAAGGCAGTTGTGCCCAGGTACACCCAGTGTGCATCCCTCATGTAACTGGATTGGCTGTACTCTTCTGACAGATTACTGACAGTCTGTTTCCTCTCCCCCATCTTCCATGTTGGGGGTTCATTTATGATGCCTGTGGCATGTAATTCGGCCGTTAAATGGTGACTGCTTTTTGTACACTTTAAAAAGGAAAGATGCCCAAAAGAGCATCTGTACTACAACAAAGCTCAAAGGAGCATTTTATCTATGATTTTTTTAAAGAAAAACTTTTTCTCCCCATCTTCCTGATTCTCTGTTATTGATTACTTAAAAAAAAAAATTATCTTGTAATTGATTTCTTCTAATTTCTTTTAAAATGTTCTTTCTATTCTGAATGTTAGACTGCCTTTGAAATGCACAGCTCTCATTTTAAGGATTTTGATGTGTGTTTGAAGTTGAGACAGAATAGAATTTGTTTTCTTTACTTACAATTAATTTGTCTTATAACCTTTTTGTATTTTTCAGTTGAAGCAGGTGAGAAATGTCTAGCCTCATAGAAAGTTCCCACTGCAAATGCAAAATGTCAGGCTTGAAATATGTTTCAGGGCTGTACTTTTACTTTTGTGTTAGTCCTCAACGTAATTATATGATTTGCAATTGTTGAGAAGTTCTAGTATATACCAAATCACCATTGAAAATGTCCAAGGCACCAGATGATGTACAAAGATTTTCAATAAATTGCATGCACTCTATCAGTAGTCTATTAGTAGAGTATTTCATTGTCACTCCATTGTTTGCTAAATGTATGTTCTTGTGGAGGGAGAGGTATAGTTGACAATAAATAGCAATAGCTTTCTTCAAAGCAGTCTGAATTTGGAATGGGAAGAAATATGTCACCCTGGGAACAGGCATGTTAATAGGCAAACAAACAAACAAACCTCCTTTATTTTTCTAAAATAACACTTATTTTCTGACATTAATTCAAATTGAAAATTGCCTTGATTATCTCTACATCATCAGTTATCCAAACATACTCAATATCCCATATTCCATTTGGGTAATTGAAGTTTGACTCTGCAGTACTTTTAATGAGGTGTAAGATTTAACTCATTCGCCTATAGTTCACGTCCTGGGATGGATCAAAGGAAAACTAATTGATGAATGTATAATTAAAATCACATTTATTTCTCTTCCTGATTTCTCTGCAAATGCCGTGCTGTTGATGAAAGCACTTTTATAAGTGGCTATATGCATCGACACAATTTACTGGAGATAATCCGCCCTTTGAAGGAAAACCTTTAAACTTCTGTGTCTTTCAACACAAAACTTAGCACCGCAGTAAACTTCGTTATTCTGATCTCTGCAGGATGGCTTGATAGTGGAGAACATGCACGACCGGCCCTACACGCTGTGCCCTGGGCCTGAGGTGACGGCCGCCATGACGGCGGTGGGCGCAGCGGTGCGGCGGCTCTGCCCACACCTCGCCTTGGGCGTCCAGGTGCTGTGTGCCGCCAACCAGCAGGCCACGGCCGTGGCTCTCGCGGCAGGTAATAGAAATGACTCCTCTGTTATTACTGCTGTTTGCCGTGGCATTTACTCTCTGCAAATTGGGCATTGTACTAACATAGATACCATGAAAAATGAGACATGAAAAGCTCACTGTACCCTGAAAAAGCAGAAATTAGATTTTGAGAAAGATGCCTGCTTGATTATAATAGATGATACTCGCACGGTGCTTCAATAGGAGGCAGCTTAAAAATCCCAAGGCCACTGGCGCTGCTTTCTAGGTGAAACCTGTCTAACTGTAATGATTAGTTTAAACCTACTCATGTCTAAGAGCCACCTTTGGTGTAACTCTATTTACTTCGGTTAAACGATATTTGAAGATTAATTTAACCCGCTGTGGTTAAGCATCCTTTTCAGCATCTAATTATATGTTGTTGCTACTACTGGTTTCTATTAAAACTAAGTTTTCATTGCCTTTTTTTTATGAATGAATGGAATGAAGCTTTCTGTTAATTTTTTTAAGTGCATAGCTACCCAAACTACTGAACATTAAATTGCATTCAGGGAAATTAAGTACAAATTAATTTATCATTACTGCAAGAATACTAGATTTGCTAACCCTTCAGTTTCTAAGCTTTGCTGGAACAATTTTAATTTTCATTCCCTGATCAAAAGATAGAGACTGATTTAATAGGGAACGCTCCTACTTTCCAAATCCTTCAGAAATTGAGAGTCTATGTTTACCCAAATTGCAAATGCAACTGTAGTGAGGTTGGACACTTTGTAAATTTTACAGGTTTTCTAAATAGGCAAAGTTCGGTAAGAATGAAAAATCAAAAGATGCTTGTGCTATATGGAACAAATTCAGTTAAAATAACATTGGGTAACACTCATTTTTCTTGGGGGAATTTCTATTTGTTGTTACGTTTTGCACATGGATTTGGTTTGAGTGCCTTAGAATCAGAAGCTGACACTTTCAAGGTATGCTTGAAGGCTACTTGGCAAACCAACACAGCACACTATTTCTGCTGTGGAGACTATGTGAAAAATTAAGCCAAAAAAGATGACAGAACCCAGTTTTGCTTTTGTTTTCAGGGATTGTATGCATGTAGGATACTTGAGATGCACTGTATTTACACACCTTACTTTTAAAAGTAATAGCTATGCTTCCTTTTAGGAGTGAAATTGATCACTGTATATGGGATGTAATGCAAGAGCAATGAGTTTCTCTTACTCCTCAGCAATTATTAATGAGTGAGAGAATTCCTGAAGGGCTTGGGTTTTGCTCTGCTCTTCTGCTGTTCTGCACTATTTGCTCTGTAACTGGAGGACAGCAGCTAGGAAAAGCCTATGTTTAATGCATTTCATTGCACTTCTCTAAAAATGATTCTCAGGCTCACTGAGCAGGAAAGCAAAAAGAAAAGAAAATCACTTTAGGCAAAGCAATAGTAAAGGGACTGACTCTGTAGGTAGAAAATCTTTGAATAGTTTTTCTGTAGCAACCTAGTAGTGACTTTAATATGAATGCCATTTTAGTTGTCATTAAAGATAGCTATTAATTAAGGAATCCTCATATGCTTCAACTACAAAATATTTGCTGAATGTGTTACACTTAAAAAGCATATGGAGTATTTTCTGCTACTATGTAGTCGTTCCATTTTCCCTATGGAAACTCCTGTCTCTGGTAGAAATAACTTCAGAAGAGAACTGCACAGGGAAACCGTAAGTGGTCTTCAAGTGTAGGTAATGATTTTATATTATAAAGAGAGGGGGAAGAAGTCAGCAATTTTATGGTGTGACTGAAAGGAACTCCTCAGCAATGTGTGTTTGTGCTGATAAGTATGTTTTGTAGTAACAGATTAAAATACTAGATTTTCCCAATGTATTGATATGGTACTGTTATCAGACTTATACAATAATAAAATCAGGGGATGAGAAGGCTGAGTTTTTGTGTTTTTTTTTTTTTTAATCGTAATCTCAAGCACTTATTTCTGGGAAAGTGCACCACCTTAATAGCTGCTTCTAATGGCATCCTCCAAAGACTGTATTATCTTCTTTCTTTCCTGTTCCCTGAAACTGAACAGAAAGCAGAATTTGTGTGGTAGGGTTACTGCTTTCAATCAGTACATAATTTACAGGTGTACTGTGTGGTTTATAGAAGCGCATTGCTTCCTGTTTGTAGTTTCTTATTTAATTACTACATCTGCTTCAGGTTGAAAAAGAATGATGTATCCAAACAGATCCTGCGAGCAATTGTAGAAGAGATAGGAATGCTCCCTTACTCGTTTTTGTTTAGCAAACGTTACTGGTTATCATTGTTCAGTGCTCAGGAATGTTCACTAAGCCCGGGTCAGATCTGGATATCTTATTAGGTTTCCCTTACTTATTTATCAGTGTGTCTTGTTTTCTGAAGTAAACCACTGTTTATGCTTGGGCTGTCTACTGAATTTCATGTCCTCGTGCTCTGTTGTTGACCTACTTCCACACTACATGGCTTTTCTTTTATCAAAAGTTTGTTAATTATGAAGCAGTAGTCATCTTAGAGAGGACTGTTGTGTCCAAAGGAATCATCCAAAGGCCCTCAGCTGCTATCTGCCGTTTTCCTTGCATTAGTGAGACCATGCATGGCTCCAATCCATCAGTGTATGTCTTCGCAGAGGAGCTACAGAGCCTTTACAATACTGGGGGTATACACCAATAACAGTCTCTATATTCTTTTGCAACTCTATGTGCTTCCATTACAAACATGTAGTAGTAGTGACTGAAAGAAGGAAGTGGCCCATCATTAAGCTAATGGAGACAGACACGGCCTGCAGGGGCTACTATACAGTGCAGTAGTGTCCATGTACCTGCATCAGCCAGTTTTACACTTCATGAATGAGAACTCAATTTCTAACAGTTTATCTCCTGCCATCTCCAGCTGACTGTGAAAATGCCCTTTTTCTTTAAGGATCCTTTTACTGAAATCCCACGCGGTCACTGTTTCTTAATTAGTCTTCAGTAATGATAATGACTCAGTTGGTAGCTGATTAAACAAGGCTTCATATCAGAAGATATTCCAGGTACCAGATATCTCCAGGTCTTTTATAAATACAGCTTTGCTGTCTGAGACAGCTCTTCTCTTGCAACCGCCCACCAGCAGAGATGCTCCACAGGAAGGTGTGGCCAGTGATACTGTTTAGGATAGAATTGGCTGGAAAAATATGCTGATTTTTAGTTACATATTTTTTTCAACTAATGCCATTCTAATACGGCTAAACTGAAGTTCAGCAGGTGAGTGCTTATTTGGGGGACACCTGCGGGTGCTGCAGGACAAGGCAGCAAGCACTGGAACTTTTGCAGAGATGAGATGAGAAATATGTGCTGAAAGCACTGTTGGAGACACTGCTTTTTCCAACTCTTGCTTGTGGAATGAGCTGCTTCTCAACTTAATCTTGAAGCTCTGTTTGGTAGGTCCTATTGGAAATTTCCTGTACCTGTTTTTTAGTGAAATTACATGATATTTTTTTTTGTTCCCGTGTAAGTCAGAAATGAGGCTGCCTTTTAACTATTTAGCAGGTATTCCTTTTTGACTTACTTAATGGGAAAATAAGAAATAATACCATTTTCACAGTTTTAGTGAATTCATTAATGCAATCCAATTAGGTCTTCATAAAACAGGCAGGTAATGAGTTGGTGTCTACTAGAATTGGTTAAAAATAGTATCTGGTTATCCCCCCAAAACTCCAATAGTGTGCAACTCTGTTAAACTAAGAACAATCCTGATGTTGGTCGAGGAAGTCTTGAATTCTTAAGTTAAGGAAGTACAAATCAAACATTGGTAAACATGCGAGCGGTGAGCTTCAGTAGGTGAATAGCCCTTGTCCTGAGGTAGCCAGTAGGATTGCTATGAACATTTATTAGATTTCTAGGGTGCTTGATAGTCTTGTGATTAGAGGAGAATTATTGTTTTTCTTATTTAAGTCTGATTTATACTACAAACTTAGGTGATTTGATAAAGCCTATGGCTAATATTCCTAGATGCACAAGTCTCAGTCTTACCTACTAGCACCTTTAATTATACTTGTGACATATTTGTGTCTTTGAATCCTGAGAATACTCCATGCTTTCTCACCTGCTAATCTCAAGGCATAGGACAGCTTATATTTGAGTTGGCACCATCTGTGATGTATCATGTTAGCTGCAGTCTGTGTTGCTAAGCAATACAGGCTCTTTTCCATCAGGCATAACCTTTTGTTTCTGCAACTTCGGGGCTTTTGGAATGAAACTGAAATCTAGCTCTTAAAATAAACAGGAACCTTGTCATTTGGTAAATACATTTTTAAAAACCCTTTCTGTTTACGTCTGCAATGTGTTAAGGTGAGGCCTTCCTTGCCTAAATAGTTTTCTGTTAGATGGAATTGCATCCCTGAACGCTGCTCTCACATTGCATTTAGTTCCTCGATGTTTCCACTCCACTTAAATGTGCAGCTGACTCAAAGCTGGAGAAGCAACAGAACTTCAGAGAGCCTGGAAGGGAGCTCTAAAGCAAACTGGAAGAATAGCAAAAGCTGCACAAGGTGTTTGCAGAGCATTTTCACATCCTAAAGGGTGTGTGAAGTAAGCTTCAAGGCTGTGGAAGACTGGAGAGGAAAGGGATACAATAAAGGAGTCAGAATTGTCATCTTTTGCAAAACAGCTGTGGATTAATTATACTGTGGCTGAAGACATCAGTATGTCAACATAAAGGTATTTCAAGGCTGTATAGGGGTACCTTATAGTAGATAAATGGTCCATCAGAATCATTTCTGTTCTTAGTCTTCCTTTGAAGTACCCATCGCCCAAAAGCTTCCTGATACAAAAGATGAACGACTGCTGGACACTGAGTTTCTGAGACAAGGTAGAGTTGATGCTCACCGTAAATTTGGAGTGGAAACTTAATCTTTCTATATCTTTGGCCCAGCTCCGAAAGTCAGTCATTGATGTGGTACTGTTCAGAAGATGTAAGTTGCATTCAGGTGGAGAGTCAATGTATATAATGTATTGCAGGCTGTGTTTTCCTGCCTAATTTCCTGAAGAAGGAGGACATAGGCTATTCTCTTCTCTTTGTCCATGTCCTGGTTGCTTTTTGACCTGTTGTCCAATTTCAGGCATATTTAACAGTGGAACAGATGTTGGGAAGGCAGTAATACAGTGATGGGGTATCTAACAGAGGGGCAGAACCCAAGATAATGCCCTTTTTGGAGAGAAGCCGCATCGTTGGAGGATAGGAGCTACGTTTTGGCCTACCTATCCTTCATTCATACTTGCCTACTGGCACATCACAGCAAGCAGGAGGGCAGGGTGTGCTGTTGCTGAGTCTGTGCCCATGGGTACAAAAGTTTAAAAATGTGAGAAATCAAGGTTGATTAGTCTCAGAGAACATGGAACGTCTTGTGTGGAGGTCAAATGAGGGGCAGATATTTTAGTATTAGTTCTTCAGGCTTCAGGTCTAGTTAAGAGAATGCTAATTTTTTCTTTTCTTTTCTTTTATCAGGTCTTGATTTTATTCGAGTTGAAGGTTTTGTGTTTTCTCATGTTGCTGATGAAGGGATCATAAATGCCTGTGCAGGTAACCTGCTACGATACAGAAAACTAATTGGAGCAGAGAATATTCAGATTTTTGCTGACATTAAAAAAAAACACAGGTAAACACAAGCAATATTTATGTAAATATTAATGTAATAATGATCTTATGCTTTTCCCCATTTTCTGATTATTTTATATCTGCTCAATGCCAGCAAAGTTAATGATGAAGGGAGAACTTTATTGTTTGAGCAAGGTCTTGCAGTGCTATTAGGGGATATGTTTAAAAATAAATTTGCACCTGTAAGCCGCAGGTTGCCGCATCTGTGAAGTTTGTAGTTTAACCTTCAGGATTTATAAATGCAGACTGTAAATGTCTCACATCTGGTGTCAGGTGAGGTTTTACATCCTTATATGCCTATTACGCTTAAAGAAATTATGTTTCGGGAGGCTAAGCATCCAAGGTTATTTTTAGTAATGCAGCAGTTTCCACATACAAAGGATCCAAATCATAATATTCTGGTGCTTTAGAAAGCTATTCTCTTTTTTCTCCTGGCTGCCAATAGTACTGCTTTCTTCCACTTAAATCGGTGCTGTCTACGTACGGATTATGTTCTATGATTATCAAACAGAAGGAACTTTTGACAGATGAACCCAGTTTCTTTTTTGCTGATATCTTAACTGTCACACAGTATTTTTAGCTATTTATATGTCACTTTTTTTTCCTGAAGAACTGCTCAAATGTTATGTATTATACATGCTAAATAACCTAATTAAAATGTTTGCATGTAGTATGTAGGTAATCATGAAAACAACCATGTTGGGAAGATCATAAATATCTGTGTTTTTGTGGTCTTGTTTTTTTTAAATAACTTTCAAGATAGGTAAAGAAACAATGCATTATGATAACACTAAACTTTTAAGGTCCTTTCAGATTGGTTTATTTCTAATGACTTAAATTCTTTTATATATATATGTGCATATATGTAAAAGACACTCCATTAGACTTCTTCATAAAAATTGATGATTGTATCATATGGTCTTTCCTTTGTCTTCTCAGTTGATAGACTTATATTTTGATTATACTTTGTAGGTGAAAGGATTTGCTTTTTAAAGTGGAAGGTTTTTGCTTCAAGGAGATTCCAAAGCTGAAACGATGTTAAGACCCACATTTCCAACTCATTTTATGTATTAGGGACTTAGGCCTGCTTTCCTCCAGCTATATAAAGGGAATGCTTTGTCTTGCACCATCATCACTAGTGAAAAGCACTGCAGTCAGTGCATTCTGCCTCTTACTGTAGGGATCCAAGTCCATCCACACTGACCCAGGGAAGAGGAAGACTGTCACACCTCATCAGTGCAATGGGTTGACCATAGCTGTTGTTGCTTCTGCATTTTCAATTAAGCAGAAAGCAAAGTCAGATGCTGAACCAGCAAAGGAGTTCTAAACCCTTTCAAACTTTAGAATTGTTTAAATTAAATTACTATTGCTGTAGGTTTCAAAGCATATCACCCATTATCAAAAGCTGCTGTTGAAAAGCTAGGCTGCAGGTAATTTATGTTTGTAATTGCTATGTAAGGTGATTCCTGTGATTATGTTATAGGTAATAACTATACTTTTGTTAGTTGGACTTTGTGAAATGAAGTGAAGGATGTTAATTCCATTCTGAGTAACAGAACGTGATTTATGAATGACTGAGCCATCCGCTGCTCCCACTTGAAGTCAGAGAGCTGTGTATGAGATACAAGTGCTCGACATGCACACAGCTGTCTGAATTGACACTTGGTAGTTCACCCTTAGCAATCGCTCTTTAGAGACAGAAGACCAAGAGCAGTGGATTGAGCAGTTATAGCTCTGCGATGGATAAGGTTGGGTCTCTTTCCCCTTGTTGGTATTGTAAAGTTACTTCCCATTTTAAAACGGGACCCTTACCTTCTCTCTCACAAAGCCTGATTTTCAGTGTTCTGATAGTGAGGAAAATGAAGAAATGCCCAAATAAACATTGATCAATATGTGTGTGCTGAAAGTAACCACGGGGTACGTTGTGCTGTTGACAGTGCTCATGCCCTGACGGCAGATGTCAGCGTGGCTGAGACCGCCTCTGCTGCTGAGCTCTTCCTGGCTGATGGGGTGGTACTGACTGGTACGGCAACCGGGCTGCCTGCAGACCCTGGGGAGCTGAGAGGTGAGCGGACACACCAGGAGCATGCAGCAGGCCCTGAGTCAGCTTCTGGCTATACATCTCTGTATGTGCTGTTCCTTAAGGAGAAAAAAAAAGGAAGAAAAATGTTCTTTCATTGCAGAGTTTGATTGGATAAAGCAAAACTGATGTGACTGAGGTTCTATGTGGATTGTCTGTTTTACGTTTCTAACCAACTGTTTGATGGGACATAAATTATTTCAAGCCTTTATAATACTGAATGATACTTAGTATTACTTTAAAATAAATAAAGCAAATGAATGTGAAGACTTTGTTTTAGAAATTGATACTTTTTAATATCTTAGTATAAGAAAAAGCAATTTCATAGACCTAATAAAAATAGCTAGCTAAAAGTGCTCAACTCTTCAGTGGAAAGATTTATATTTTTCGGAAAGAAAATGAAAGTCCTGCAAGAAAAGGGTTATTATGATATGGCACCGTTCCAGACAGTAATAGCAGGGAAAACTTAGGTTTAAAAAAAAATTCTAAGTTTGTTGGTACAAAGGAAGATATGACATCAAAGTCATCAAACTTGATTGTTCACATGCTATCATGAAAATTCAAATTTTCATCACTAAATTCCAATTCAGTTTCATGGCTTGAATGTCAAGGCTTGTCTACATAAAATAGAATGTGTAGTTTTTAGGTTTTACTTCTGCTGGCACAAAACAATCTAGCGTATTTTGAAGTGCCAGTGTGTTCAGCTCAGTCTATCAAGGTGAACTCTAAGCTCAGTGAGTGTGCATCAAAGTATGTCTATTTGTCTAACCTCGAATTCTTAAAACATGCTTGCTGAAATGAAGCCAAAGGAAGTATCACTTCTTGTATAGACAAATCAAAAGCTCTATTGGACTTCAATGAACAATTTTTGTTTCAAGTTGCTGTCCTACTGGGGGATCAAAATGCAGAAATAATTATTGCATGTTTGGTCGAAGTTAAATGATAGTACCTTTTGGCAAAATATTTTTTTCATAAAGAAAAATAGCAGTATGATCTCTACTTTTTTAAAGTATATTCTTCTCTAAACCATTCAATCACAATTCCTTCTTTATTTTACAAAAGAAGGAGGTGAATAACATGCTCTACTTGGTATAGAGACCAGCACCCCAAACATCTCTTGGAATAATTTAAAATCATTGCATGTTTTCAGGGCTTTATCCATATTGTACGTGCTTATCAGCATTCAGAATGAATGCTGAACTTGTCAAAATGTTTTGCTTATTTCACATGTGTTTACAACACAACTTTTTTGCCAAAGAACAGGTGAAAGATGACTATGCTTCAGTCACCAACGTTAAAATGAAAGTGGTGGTTTGTAGTGAATACAGAGCTCTTGAATTTGTTTGAGTGTTTGATAAGGTGAACTGGAAGTGATTCATAGAACAAAGCACCCTGAAAGGCTGCAAGAGAAAAAGACCGAAAGAGACTGCAAAATATTGTTAATCTAAAGATCCACCTCTGCCTGCAATGCATACCACTGTATATCCCTATTTCTCAGTGCAGATTACATTAAAATAAGTAAATAAAAGCTGACAAATCTCGGGGCAGAATAGTAGCTTAAGTTCTGCTTTCCAGCATGCATGTGCGGCCTCCTCTCATGCCCTGCACTGGAGGGCACCAGATGAGCTGCAGGCCCGCAGGCTGCTCTCAGGCAGGACTCCAAGCAGGCCTCACCACTGCCTTTCCTGCATGTGAACCAGTGTGCCAGTCACAGCCTTGTTCCTTTTCTGAGTCCAAGGAACAAAATGAATCAGAGTTGTCAGCAGTAATGATGTGCGCACATCTTTACGTGTGTAGTGAAGGCAAGAACCTGGATCATGGGTTTGGTTTACTTAGGCCACAGAATTCAGGCATTATCTGCACCACTCAGGAGAACAGTGGCTTAACACAGTTAAGAGAAGAGCTTAAAAATCAACACTCAGTAGTGTGAGGAAATGACAAATTAGGCATATCTATGTCAGTATATTCTTAAAAGGAATCACTTGTACAAAGTTGGTGTGATGTGAGTGAAATTCGGCAGTTCACGAATGTATGCAGCATGGGATGAGTCGTACTGTGATCATACAGCTGGGCACCTTTCATCATGCTGCAAAGCAACTCTTGAACGACAAACCAAGAGACAGATGAGGTTTTGTCACGTTTTTTTTTTCTCCGCTTTGTTGTGCAGTAATATAGAAGTGTTTTTGCCTTTGTGTCTGTGTGTTGAATTGACTGACTTGTGATGGGATGTGGGAAATGAGTGTTTCTCTGTCAAGCCAGAGAAATGTGTTCGGCAGGGTTTTGTTTGTAGTTTCTTTCGCTGCCTTCCTGAAGGCACCTGTGGTGCTACTCCCAGCCACACGCTGTCAGGTTTTCCCGCTGGGAAAATGCTGAAGTACCTGGTTGAAATCCAGCTTGTGATTGGAGCGACCACAGCCTTTGCATAAGGACTGCCTAGGTATCTTTATGAACAAAGTAAATGGCCTCAGCTGAGCAACTGGTGGAAAATATCACAAAGCCCAGCAGCTGGCTCCGTTACCTCATCTGTTAGTGTGCATAGAAGGGGTGTCAAAACTGATTCATCCTCCCGCCTTTTAATGGACTGTTTAGGTCAAAATAGAGGCTGCTGCCTTTGCAGTACTCTCCTATAGATAATCAGGAGATGCAAGTCTCTGGTCTGTACTTTTCATAATCCCGAAATTTAATGACAGAGAAAAAGTCCTTTGAATTAAAAAACTAAAATGGGTTACAGTGGAACATTACCATAAACATAGTGTTGTGTATGGTACAGTGATTACTGCATATGAAAAAGCTGTTAAAGAAGAGTAGTGGAGCAAGTTATTAGCACAGTGGTACTTATTTTTACACCGCTCTTTGCCATTGTTTTCAAGCTAGGAACATTTGGCCTTTATTTCATGTAACTTGTGCACACCGTAGTTCAAATGCTTTCATTGTGCTCTGCAACCAAGTGCTATTTCATTTGATTTTATTGAAGACATATCTGCAGATGCACTGTCAGAAGAAAGAGCACAGTGCCCTCTAGTTACAGTTTATTGATATAGAAAAATGTGTGAGTTCTGTAAACTTCAGCATCTTCTTACTTTAACATCAGAAAATTGTTTCCCTTCCTGTTTGCATCAAACAATATAATCAGGAGAAGAAAGCTGAAGGAGCCTTTAAAGAAGGCTCTGTGTTTAGAGACATTTTGACAGTGACTGAACGTCACCATGCGGAAGCATATCTCACCACTGTTGCTTTATTTTCTTTTACAAGTTAGAATTTGTATTAACACAGCCGGTAGACAAGTCATATTCTATTCATCAACTGTAGGCCTTGATATGCTTGGAAACGACTTAAAAGTAGTATCTGTAGCATGTTTAATTAGATAACCCAGTCTCATTGTATGGTGGGCACTCCCATTCCTGTTCTTCACATTGACAGTCTGAATAAATCTCCAGCACAAGAGTTGTGTGTGGGCTGCATGTGTCATGCATGGATCACAGCAGGAGCTGCATACCTTGCTACTTTTGAAAGCTTCATCATTTAGTTATCTTCTTATAGTTTTGCAGCAGTCTTAGGTTCTGCTGTTCAAGTCTTTGTTAGGGCAGAGCTATTATCATACACCCATGGGATCATGCTCTGTTTAATTATTTGGCTCTTCATTTTTCCTGCTGATGTGAAATAATTGTAGAGCAACTGCCTACTAATGTACCTTATGCATTTGTCTTAAAAACAAATATTGACTTGGAATGTTGTTCCTCTGGGAATGTAGTAAAGATGTTTTACGAATCTGTGGTCAGTTGTAGCACCTTAATTATGCATTGGTATCTACATAGATCAGATTGAATATTTCGAAGAGCACAGAGATACTATATACATAGAGTTCTATTTTTTCCTAGGACAAGATTTCATTAATAATGTTATAAATAACAAAAAATGAATTATTTCATTGCTGTAAGGAGGATGAATTTAGAAATATAAAATATGTGAAGAAATAGGCATCATTTTAATCATATATGCACTATCTCGCTTTGCTTAAAATTTTCAGTAGGGGTTGTGTGGATTTTCTTCTTTTATGTTAAAAAATGTTTTGTAAGAAGCAGTTACTGTTCCTAAGTGGGATGAGTGGTATGGTATGAGACCTAGAAAGATATTCAAGAGCATTTTAATTGATCCCCTTTCTCTGGTGAAGTAGGAAGGTGACACATAATTATTTTTCCCTGAAGCATCATTAATAATCTAGGCTTCTGATGAAACTTTATTTAAATAAACAGTGTTTTGAAGCAGACTTTTTTTTGTTACAAATATACTGTCCCTAGTTCCCTCGAGCTTTAACCATCTTACGTCAGCTTATTAGCAACAATTAAAGCAATTTATATCTTTTTAAAGATCAGAAATAATGCTCTGCAGCATTCTCAGGATGCAAGGGAACAAGCGTCCAGTCTTGACTGACTCTTAGGATGGTCAGCTCAAAATGAAAGGATGAGCAGGATGCCCAGTAATTCTAGCCCAGTAATTCAATTCTTTTATTTATTTATTTTTCCCAGAGCTAGTACTGGGTTGAGTTCTGAAGAAAATACTCTAATGAACTTTTATGTGGCCTCGGAGAGCCTTTCCATGGCCAAAACAGTAGCACCTGCTGAATGCAGAAAAATGTCTTTTTCATTTCATTGCCATTTATAGAAAGAAGAGGCATATCTGTGCCATCTTTTGTGTTCTGGTGAGCTAGCTGGAGGTATCAATGTAGCCTATTGCTGCTTGCTCTCCTACTTTCATGACCCTGAAACTTAGCAAGGAGCAGAGAGCATGTTCGTTTTTCTTTCCCTGTGAATAAGGCCTTTTTTGTTTCTTCAGTGAAGAACTTCTGCTAGTTGTCAACATAGCATAAATTCAGCAGAAACCTGGCAGAAATATACACCAGTCTAACTACCATTATTGTGATTTAAACTGATGACTGAAGAATTGTAATGAGCACAGCTCTACTGAATAGTTCTGCCACTTTTAATGATCTCACCAGACTCGCAAAAGTCTGAGCTGGTATAATAAATGGAAACAAGAATTTCATCTTATTCTTGTAGCTGTGTTCTGATTACTTCATAGAAAGACTGGGGGAAAATGGTATCTATCCTACATGCTACTGCAGTGCAATATTAAATGATTGCTGTTTTCAGTCTGTGTGTAGTACCTCAAGTGCATTGAGCCTCCAAGCACAATGGCAAACAGACATGTTAAGTAGTTGGGATAGTTTCTGCTTTGCAAAAGCTTCCTCAATCCAACATCTCTTCTTACCGGGGACAAGAAATAAAAAGGAATGTGATGGAATACAGTAAAACGCACTGCACTCTCAGCCAACCAATTTTCCTTAATCTTACTTGAATCTTTTTTCTTGGAGGGTGGGAGGGGGGAGAGAAAGGAATGTACGTGTTCAGTGTTGAGATGCAGCTTTCATGTGCTCTGTAGTGCTGAAACAGTCCTCTGATATGTGATCAGGAATGTTATGTTGGACTTGACGATGCTCATGGGTCCCTTCCAACTCAGGATATTCTTTGAAAGTGGGATTTTCTCAACAGTTATTGAGAGCTAAAAGTGTTGGGTTTTTTCATCTAGAACGTCTGTATCACTGTTGTAAAAGTAAGAGATGCATACTTACAAATTTCTTAAGACTTACCCTCCTTTGCTGTTGAAACTCTGCGTAAGTTAGAGCACATTGTTTTTACAGAATTTTAAAGATGGATTTAAATCTCAGAGGATTTAATCCTAATTTTTTTTTTTCCCCACTTCAGAGGTTCAACATGCTGTGAAGATTCCTGTTTTGATTGGATCTGGAGTTACTCTGGAGAATGTGAAGAATTACTTGGATGCAAATGCTCTAATAATTGGTTCGTATTTCAAGAGAGAAGGTTATTGGGTGAATGGTGTTGATCCTGACCGAGTGAAGAAATTTATGGAGCACATAAGTAAACTGAGAGAATGAGTTAGTCAGCAAGCACTATTTCCCTGTTTGTGTACATAAATGCAGCGTGATATATCATACAGAATTAAAGCACAAATGTGCACTTGAATGGCTGATATCTTTAAATGAAAACGCACATCATCTCTGCAGCTAGCTGTGGAACATGGTGGCACTTTACGATGAGCTGGTGCTATGGTCTTTGTTTCTAGACCGTGTGTTTCTGTGGCACTCACAGCCATTGCCAAGACAAAACCAGCTCTCCAAATGTGTGTAGCATATTCTCTCCTATAAGTAAAGTGCTTACGGATTGCAGGATGAGCTGAGTTTTGTTTTGCATGTTAATACAATAGGACACCCTAAGTTTACAGCTAACAGTATTGTAAATTGGACAAGTTAATTAGCCTTTCAGTTTCCCCATCTGTAAAATGATGATAATAGTACCTACATCACAGGGGGGTTGTAAGACATAATGAATGGATGAACGTACAGCACTTTCATCTCCTCAAATGAAGGGCTCTATTAAAGTTCAAGATCATTATTTTTTCATTAGAATTGTGCATTTATTACAAAAATGTAGTAATTGTATACCATACAAAAATTTAAGATAATTGGGAAATTGATTTACCTACAATACTTATTAGGGAATAAATGTAAATATTTAATTACATTTTAAGTAGTGTTGGAATTTAGTCAAAATGCTTTCCAAAAAATTGGAAATTTTAATAAAGTCTTATTTTTCAGCAAGCTCCTTCAACTTTGTACTGCTTCAGACTAGCATTAGTGACATTACAAACTGCCAGGTTCCTTCCAGCACACAAGGTGTAATTATGATGGAATCATTTCTACCAGAACTGACAGGTAAACACAGATTTTCATTTTTTGCTGTAAAACGTAGAGGGAAAATGTGACAGACTAACTGTATACTGTAAGACTCCCCTTGAATTTGATCTTTTAGCTCTAAGGAAGTTTTTTAGAAACAACAACAACAAAGGATACCTGTTGTGTCACAGCTGTATAAACTGTGGACGTATGTTTTCATTCCTCGGGACTGTGAGCTACGTTTGTCCTCTGGGATCTCTCTCTTTCCTTGACATCTATGCATCAGGATTCTGCCAGTGCTTATGCAAGTTATATTGTACATATCAAAGCAAGCATACAAATGTATGTTTTTTTTCTGTCAGCTGGCAGAGCTCCCATGCTTCTCTGAACAAAACATACATCCTCCTTCAAAAGGCAAAAGAGATTTTCAGGAATCCTAGCTTCATTAATAGAATAGTGATTCCAAAACATCACAGCATGAGATTATCTTTTCCTCAGGTTCCTTTTTTCTGGACTAGCCTGTCTCCCACATGCCTCCCATCAAAAGCAGACAAATAACTGTGGTGAGCTGACCTCTAGAGAAGCGATTGTTTAGCCCCCATGGCAGCCTTGGCATTCTTCTGCTTATCTCCATTTTCCTCGTAAGTACGCTGACGAAGTTTCTGTGCATAGAAATTCTTCTAGGGGCGTCTTTATTGTGAGTGGCACCACTTCTTGAGTCCACATTTACACAGGCGATTTAATCTGCTGAGTGTTTGGACTTCCATCAAAACTACTTGTCATAAAAAAAGGAGCATGCGTGGATGAGCCACTTGCAAGAAGTAAAATTAAGGGAAAAAACAATGAAGGAAAAAAAAAAAAGGTGAGGTCACCCTCAGTCACCTCCAGCTCTCTCTCCCAGCTGCTGGTGTAGGCAGAGCACAAATAGTTGAGGATCACGGAAATGCTTTCTAAGTTCTTTTCTCCACACACTCATTCACTCTCAGCATATTCTGAGGTATTTATCAGGTCAGTCAATGATCTCATTTAACATCTAAGTTGTTTGAGTTCCATCCTATGCCCTCTTTATTGAGGAGAATTATCATGCTAAATAAAATAACTTAGGTCTTAGTGACATCAGTACGCTTAGATTAGCACACTTTCACCTTTCTGTGATAAGCACTGTTAGGGTTTTCATAGTTTTCATTGTTTCACAGAAGATGTAGTGGTGTTTGGGCCAAAAAATATTTTCTGTTGTTAATAACCTCGCAAGTTGTTTTCAGTAAATTCGTAAGCTAGGAAGGCTGACATGAGCAAACACTTGCACGTAGTCAGGTGAAAACTACGAGCGGTATTACTGTTTAGTGATAATTATATGTGAGGAATGGAATGCCGTTGCCACAAGTCACATTAATTACTGTATGAAAATATAACGTGCTACCACCACGTTGAGTTGGCTTGTACTCATTCTTGTCTTAAAAACCAGAAGCGATTGTGACTTTGAGGGGCTTTTCATTCCTAAAAGGTAAGGGAGAACTACTTTGTTTAGACCTCGCATGCAGCACAGAAGTACTGCTGTACATGGTCTTTGTATGAGGAAAGCCTAGTGTATTTGTGTCATATTCATAACACGTCCTAGTACTACAGGCAGTCCTTGCACCGTCAGTACTTCATTTCACACTGTGTAACACTTAGAGGACAGGCTGTGAGTTGGACTTGTGTTATTACAGATCAACTCTAAGTGCAAAACATAGGGACCGCAGGCAAAGGAAAGCCGATTTGAAAGCCTGGAAATGTGATTGATCACCAGCTCTCTATCATTCTTTGTGCTGAAAGTATTTGTCTGGCAGCATTAAGCATCTGCTTGCTTGTTTCACACAGATGCTGTAAGTAGAATTTGACCTTTTGTTCAGAAAGTGTTTGAATGTTTAATGTAAAAAATATGAAGTTATCAGAAAGGCTGCCTCTTTTGGGAAGAGTGTTCAATTTTTATACAGCCCGAGTTCTTAAAGTACTTTGGAGCATGAATAACTTCAGAGCAGAACAAAGAAGGCAGCGCTAATGTGTAGAAACTCCAGAAGTAAATAACAGCTGTTCAAGAAGACTTCTATTAAATATGTATTAATTAATTTGAAGTGCATCACTTAAATGTGTGAAGAGATTATCTTGTGTTAATTTACATTAAAACACACAGCACTTCTTAGCCTCATTACTGTATCCTAAGTGTATCCTAAGCTATCACCTCATTCCACACTGAACATTTTGTTGGGTTTTGATTGCTTTCGATTTGCCCTTTTAAAATGTCAGATAGTGGCCTCTTTCTTGATGGTTCTCTTCTTTCTCATGCATTTTATTCTTTCATGGTTACTGTGTGTACTTGTGTCCGTTATGTGATTAACAGAAAGATCATGAAAGTGTATCAGTGACCACTCACAGCTCAGTTCCTTGATGTATCCACCTGAACTTTGTGTGTGGTTTTCACTGTTGACTTGTGAACCAGAAGGAAGAATACAAAGGTATTAATGTGATACCTTTAGTATTACCTCTAGTAGAGGGAAGACACCTAGAAAAAAATGGGATTTCTTTAGTGAAGTTGCAGAGATATAAAACTTGCTGATAACAATAATAGACTTTGTGATCTAAATCAATGTATAAATCTCATTCCATTCATAACACCAAAGTGTTTTATCCTACAGGGTAACCTGAAGAGCTGCGATTCTGGACAGTCACACTAGCTTAAAAAGCCTATCTCCTAATTCTGGGTTTAAACTTCTGAGCTTTACCTTTGTCATCCTACTTCTGACTCCCATGAGAAAGTACTAGTCAGCCCACAGCATTTCACAGCAGTTCTTGTTCCTGCACCTATTGTAGCAGACTCATTGCTGAGAGAAAACTGAAGAATATAAAGGACTTGCAGGCTGGTTGTGGCAGAGCAGGAAAGGGGAAGGAAACTAGAATACCTGGCTGTAGCAAAATCTTGAAGTCCATGACAAATTATTACAGAACATGATTCTCTTGAGAGAAGTGAATGGGGATGTTTATCCCTCTTGACTGTAGTTCCAGGTTGTTTGCAGCCTCTTCAGTTAAGACTTCACAAGTTTGCACCTGGGTTACGTTTCCAGGATCATGTCTGTTTGTATGTGTGCTTAGGGAGACATCTTTTGCTAAATGAAAGCTGCAGTTTAGCAGGATAATTATGACAATAGGGATGATATCTGTAGCAAAATCCAGGCTTGGAATTTGCAGTTCCTTGCTTTAGGAGCAGATTTAGAGACAGTGTGTGTGTCCTAAAAAAAAAAAAAAAAAAAAAAGAAAGAAAAAAAAAAAACAACCGAAAGCAAAGATTTGCATTAGAGAAACTTCGTTTTCTGCACTCTTGCCTTAACAACCAGGCAGTGTATGAGGGATTGAAGCCATTTCTACTCTATAAACTAGAGAGAGAATTGTTTTTAGCTTGTGTGGTTCTATAAGCATGACATCCTGGAGCTGGCTTTGAATGCATGTTAGAGACAAAGAACTGGTACTTAGATGTTGAGCTTAGAAACAGAACTGCCTGGTTTTGTTTTGTTTTTGTTTTGTTCTTTTGCATTTGCAATGACAATCTTTGAAGCCTAAATGTTCAGAAAGGGTGGAAAAATTGGACTGAGGTATTCTTTTTGTGGCCTAATGAGCCATGGTGCGTAGTGGAATTGAACTGCCTTGCTCCACTCTATAGTCCCTGCTGCAGAAGTACTATCAGAACTTAAAATCCTTCCAATAAGTACTGAGCTGGATTTCCTCCATAGAGATATCAGGGGAAATTATCCAATTAATTCCTTGCTTTTATAAGAAGCAGTGCTTTTACTGAAGCCTGCAAGAAATTGTGATATGGAACTTCTCTGCATTGTTTTCCACTCTTTAAATGCTTGTTTGGATTTAGAAAACCATTGCTCCTTCCTGTCAGCCTACGTAGATCTGCAGTGAAAAGACAACACAGAGGCAGCTATGACACGTGAGTCAGGCCAGAAGATCTGTAGTTAAATGTTGAAGCCAATAAATGCTTTTTTACCCGAAGTCTTCAATGCACAGATAATTTTAGAGGAGGGGAAATTCCTGCAATTAGGAAAACCTCTCACAAGAGGCAAAAGAGCTACAATTCTCAACCTGATTTGCTTCTTTTCCATATTATTTGAAGCTTTAGAAGGTAAAGAAACAAGAATGTTTCTTGTTAAATAGTTCAGAGTGGGAAAGAGCGCGAGGGTAGTTTCCTTGATTAAAAATCTATTGATTCTTTTAACAGGCAGGTTTCTTTCAATACGTCAGCAGATGATT